AAAGTCAACATGACACTGAGGTAGGTTTTGTATGCTCACACGAAAGTTAATTATATATATATATATATATATCTATTTCAAACAAAATTTGTTCATCATAAAAAAAATTATATCATCTCACAATTACACGCATTAAAAATGTTAATAAGCATTTCAAAATTATTTTTAAGATACTAGTGAAATTTCTCTTGTAATTTTTAATATTATTTCAAAGCAATTTGCTATCTTTAGAAGCATTTCCTGTGTAATTTTTTTCTTAAGCATCGTTGCTTCATTTGATCAATATTCCAATTTAAATTGCATCATTTCTGGAGGTAGAATTGATTTTTACATGAAGATAATCGTAGATATTTGCTTTTTCATTTGATGGTTATACGCATAGAGTCTGATAGTACATTGGTAATAATATTTGGTTGCGAAGTACTATTTCTTTTTCAATGTGCTTCATGTGATTTTAGGTAGAAATAAGTTGGTTCTTTAGCTCTTTCAATTATTTATAATGAAAATTCAATTTAAGGTCCATAGCTTTTACTTCCATAGAATTAGCCACCTGTGGTAGAAGCGGTGACGTACAAGACTCGATGAACGGGAGATGGGTTGCATTAGCCACCTATAATAGCACCCGACGACGTGAGTCATGCGATAGCATTCGGTGCTCCATCCATATACGTTGAATGTAGCATAGAAAGATGGGCAGAGGCTGCTCTTGCAGAAAAGGAATCTCCTACTAATTGGGGGGGTGTGGTGGGGAATCACATTAATCGTGCTTACCACAACGATGTAGTAGCGTCTGCTGGGGGGAAGGGTTGCTCACGATACTGTTTCCCTTTGGAAGGTTATGGCCGAGGAGGACCACCGAGAGCGATAGCTTCAGGTGCGACTAACACCGCATCGCTAGGGGACGAGCACGCCTTTGTCCTCGGCTGCAGCCCCCGGACAAAGACGTTGCACCGGAGAGGCAAAAGTTGTATCCGACTCTCTCTCTCTCTCTCTCTCTCTCCGTTGTTTCCATTTCAATTCCCGATCTTAAAACGGAAAACCATCGGAACGGTTTTCCCTTCTCCCACGTGCTCCCACTCCCCCACCATCTCTCTGGCCGAGCCTTTGGTGGTGGCGCTTTCAAACTTTGCCTTCCCCGACAATCCAGACTCTTCACCCTCCAATCGCAGTCCTTTTCCTTCTACCGATTATGCTGGTGGAGATGATACACAACAGAAGGAAGTTCGATGGACGGATGGATGGCAAGAAGCAAAGCAATGGATTGTACACACACACACACACAGCAATAAACAAAACAGAGGAAGCTCGGGGAGGGGTCCCTGCGCTTCCCTGGACATAATAATACATCAACCCCTCTCCCCAGTGGGGTGGTAAGGGGGGAATTATTGTACATAGCGGTATCACTACCTATCTGCACTCTGAACAGGAAAGAAGGAAAGAAAGAACTGCGGAAAGAATAACGGAGACCAGCTGAGCTCGGCACGCCTATCTACAGCCCCAAGAGCTACGAGCTGGTCTCTCCCCTGTACTCTCTCTCTCTCTCTCTCTCTCTCTCGCTCTCTCTCACTCTCCTATCTATCTATCTATCTTTAACTGTAAAAATAGCCGACGTAACCAAAACGAGAGGGGTAAAGCGACAAAAAACAAAAAAAAGAAAAACAGGGAAGGAACAACATGAACGGAAGCGGGGAGACTCCGGGGTCCTCTGCAGGCATCCCTCTGGTATAATCTCCCCCGGCCAGTATCCAAGGATCACCGTCCTGTATGTCATGCCTGTGATTCCAAGTCCCTTGAGGCGATGAATGTACCGTGGAAGCCGTAGGGCACACGCGACGGCAGCTTCACCGCGGCCTCCAGTTGCATGTCTGCGGCGTTCACGATCAGTAGCTCCGACTCTGATGTGTTCTCGTTGTGCATGAAGGAGAGCACGTAGCCGTCGTCCTCCCTCGACGACTTGGGGTCCCTCGGCACGAAGTACGGCTCGCCGCCGTACTTGCCGTCGCCGAAGATGAACTTGCTCACCGCTCCAGTGCAGAGATCGACCTTGGCGAAGCCGGACACCTTCGGCCATGGCTCCGCGATGGCCAGGTAGGCGTACCGGGTCTTCCTCCCCAACATGTTCCGGTTCACCATCCCCGCCTCCAGGTTCAATTGGTCGGCGGGGGAGAGAATGGGGCGGCGCGTCGACTTGCCGGTGTTGAGGTCGAGCCGGATTTCGGAGAGGACGCTTTTGAGGCTCTCCTCGCATTCGTTGAACACCGAGTCCGGCGGCGTCATGCAGGAGCCTATCACCACCACCTCCCCGGTGGCGGGCTCCTCCCACGCGTTCCACAGGTGGAAGCAGAAGCAGTCAGGGACGTCGACCCACCGCATCTCGGAGGCGTCGGCGGCGTACTTGGGCAGGACGCCGAAGCGGGCGGTCTTGGTCCGGTCATAGATGACCGGGGAGCCGCCGCGGATCATCTCCTGCAATTTGAACACCACTTGCTGGTCCGGCACCACGACGTAGTTCTCGGTGATGGCGAAGTCGTGCATCATGGTGGGCTGGTCTAGGGGAATATCCACGTCGGGGGACTTGTTGCCGTCGGGAGAGAAGTAGAAGTACTTGAGGTATGGCTTCTTGATGACGTCGTAGCTGAGCGCGAAGAGCTCACGCGAGGAGGGATCCAGCTTGGGGTGCGCAATCATGGAGGAGCGGAGCTGGCCGTGGAAGTCGTACCGCTCCACGGTCTCCAGGTCGCCCGAGGGAGTGACCCGGACGTGGTACGGGATGTCGTCCTCTGACATGGCGAGGAGGCGGTCGTTGAAGTAGATGAGGCCGGCGTTGGCGACGCCCATCCCGTGGCCGCCGTCCACAAGGCCGAAGAGGCTCCGCGCGTAGAAGAGCAGCAGTCGCGCGACGCCCGAGTGGCCGTGTAGCTCGCCAATTGCCTTGGGAAACACAGGCTTCCCGATGGCGCGCTCCTGCCGCAGGCGCTCCGTCTCGGTGTAGCGGCAAGCGTAGGCGGCGGAGCCGTTGCGGAGGTGGACAGCGTGCACCATGCCGTCGCCGTCGAAAAAGTGGTGTCCGGCGACGGGCTCAAACAGAGGATTGGCTCCGTTGCGGACGTAGACCCCGTTGATAAAGGGTGGGATGCGGCCCTCGACGGGGAGGTTGTGGCAGGGAGCCTGCTCGCCCACGGGAGCGAAATTGCCGGCAATCTGTACGGCGGGATCGGCGGTCTTGGGCAGGGGGTGTGGTCGCTCCAGCACTTTCGATATGAAAACCTCCTCGATCGCGTCCAGCGCGGTCGCAGCGCACCGCTGGAACAAATTCCATTCCGGCCTCGCGCTGCTGTCATCGCTGCTTTGCGGCTTGCTAGCCGGCTTGGCGATGGTCGTCGTCGCCTCCTTGGGATAAGGTGCCGGGTAGTAGGCTGGGCTGGTGCTGGAGTTCAAAGCGAGGAGGGATTTGGGGGAGGCGGAACAGCGTCTTCTGGGGGCGGTGGTGGAGGATGTCTGCTTTCTGTGTAGCATAATGGATTGGGCACGCTGCAGTGCATTAAATTGGTGGGGCTTGGAGATCGGACTGGCTGCGGATCGCACATCAGGGGAAGTCATGGCGCTGGCGGCAGAGGCCATGATGTTCTTCTTCTAATTATCGGACTTGGCTATGATGGCCGATGGGTGGGGAGGTGCTTTCTTGCTCTCCTCTTCTCACCGAAGAAGCTGGGAGAGCCGGGGAAGGGGTGGTGGTTTGATTTGAAATGTTGGGAACCGGAGACTTGGCGAGGGAGATGAGAGGCGAGAATTCCTATTTATAGAGTCGGGGAAGAAGGGAAGGGGGCGAGGGAGGGGATTCGATGAGCGGAGCTCTCCACCTCACCTCGACGCCTTGCAGAAGCCCACGTGGTGGATTGTAAAATCCCGAGTCAATAAGAATTCGGTCAGCTATTTCATTTCATGGTGGTTTTGTTGGTCGGTTGGGAATCAATCTTCCACACCGCGGTCTCCACCGAAACACTGTACGCCCGCAGCACGTGGTAACCATGGATTGGTCCACCCGGTCCACCGATCAAAGCGAGAAAGAGGAAGGAAGATGAACCGTGGGAGGTGATAGGCTCGACCGGGTGACACCCCGATACATGGTGGGCTCAGGTGTGTGTCTGAGCTGAACTGGTCCTCCCCTCACTCTTCCCTGTTGTGCCTTTCGCTCGCTCTCCCCACCACCACGGTGGCCACCGTCATCGCCCTACTTTCCCCCTACATGCCAATTTACACGACAAACCTCATCATCATATGTATTGCGGTCCGATCAATTACTTCCGTCTCGCGATTTCGTCTTAGCCCGTCCGTCGATAAGAGTCACCTCGCGAAGCAAATCACCAATGTGGATCGCCCACATTGGTCACGTTTCGTGGGTTTGTTTCTTTAATTGCTCCTGCTTTCGGTAATGTTTTCAAAGTTGGTGACGGCAGTCTTATCTGCCACGCCGCCGCTCCTAACTCGCGTACCCGTAGATCATTCCAGTAATCGTCGACTGTAACTAGAAAAAGTGATGGTGGGCACGAGATGAGCCCAAACCTTCGATCTAGTATTAGGTCATATGAGGTTGTTAGATCAGCTTCTTTAATTGGAATTTGTTTAGATCGTACGACAACGTTTAGCTCGGACGTCATGAGGTCGCCGGTCAAAAGAGCTTCTCGCAGGGAAAAAGAAAGGGTAAAAGAAGAGGAAAGGACACCTCACGACACTCGCGGTGGATTATAATACGTCGCGTTTACGGTGAGGTGGCTTCTTGTGATCGCCATCTCGTTAATCAATTCTATCGATTGAGGTTAAGCTTTTGTGACTCCGACTCTCACCACAGATGCCTGTCGGGTATCAGTCGGGACTTGACCTGTCATCCGGTGGTGATTACAACTATTTGGCAGGCCTTCAATCTTCCTACATCGAGCACTTTTACAGATTCATCCATTGTAGGGACCAGCACAGCAGGGTCTCCAAGATATCTGTGAATGTGAGGTTCACACTCGGGTCCTTCGCATGTTGATAAGATAATGAAACTTCCACTTGACTTAGGTCAAATGTTGGGGGGAGGGGGAAGAAGGACGAGGATTGATCCTTCGCTTGGTAGAACCTCGACCTCCCGTCTCCTCTTTTGTGACGGCACCGCCCACGCAGTCTCCGAGTCAGCTCCGTGTTCTCCCCAGTCTTCATCAAATCTCCCCTGCCAAAGGATTCGGACAAAGCCTTTACGTGTGCTTCTCTGTGTCTGCACTAAAGTGAGTGTGTGTGAGAGAGAAAGAGAGAGAAAGGTGGGAGGCTTTAGATAATACTCAAAAAGGGTTCCCAACTTCCAATCATTAGCTAACACACACTAATCAACAGAGCCCAAGTTTTTGCTCTCATCTCATGGCTGACTGCCGACAGCATCCGTCGCTGACGAATTAAGAATCCATTATCGTCTATCTATTTATCTATCTTCTGGTCTTTTGAACTGCCGTCAGATCGTGCATTCTCTCGAATCAATCCACGTGCGCTGATCTCCTCCATTATTTCCCATTTAGCTCGACATTTAGGTAGGCAGGCAGATAGTGCGTGCATTCTTCTATGACGAACCCCATGTTGGTCACTTGCCATATTTCTATTGGCTCCATCCTTAGATTTCCCTTTTCTGGCCCGTAAAAGTTTGAAGTCCGCATGCCTTCTTAAACCTTCCTTCATGTGGCCTTACTTGTTAATTAACTCACGATCAACTTGCACCACTGTGATCTCCGATGCTCCGTCTAATGGCGTGACTTGAATTAATTGAAGGTCCCATGCATTTCTTTTTTCCTTCGTGTAAGTTAAGACTAGAGGGAAAGAGGAGAGAGTGAGTTCAAATTTCAGGTACGACCTCCACCGTGCCTCCAAATCCATGGGCGGAATCCAGCGGGAGGCCCTCGCTCGCTCGAGGTCAATTTAAGACCACGTGGCGACACAGGAATGTGGGCTTACCATGGGTCCCGGCCACGCACGTTGAACCACGTTCCTGGCGAAACGGCCGGGCGGGTCTGGCGAGCGGGCGGCCGGGCGGCCGGGCGGTCCAGCGGCCGCTCGGGTGGGTCATAATGACGCCTGGGCAGCCGCGCACATGCGCATCTGCGAAAGCAGGAACCCGCAACATGGCCAACCATTAACTCAACGTGGTCAAGCTCGGGGCATTGACCCCATGCCCCACCTCAGTGGACCGATATGGAGGTGCTGCCCCACCCCATCCCGGAGAATATTCCCCCCATCAACTAACTTTAAACTGCCACAGGATTAATCAACCGTCGTCTCCTCTTGTGTTTCTTATTTCTATAGCAGCAGCTGAATCAAACAAGCCTGCCTGCATGCATGCAGGTTTGATTGGTTAGGTTAGTGTCAGAGTTAATACAAAAGGGTGGTCGCAATGAATTGCGTATCCGACGCCGTCCATGTGCCGCGAATGTCAGGGACCGCCACGATCCTCAGGTGACCGCCTTCCCCGTCGTCGTCGCCGCTGCACATGGCGGCACATGCCGGTGGAACGTCGGTCTCGAGGGAGGGGTAGATGTTGGGGGATCGATCTATTATTCAAACCCAAAACCACCTGCTTAATCTCCTCGTCTTCCGCGATCTACTGCGGAAGCCTCACCTCGACAAACCGCATGCTGCCGCTTGACCTTTCACCTACCCCCCATCATTGAGCCACAGCCTCCCTCACACCACCCCGGTGGAGGGAGGAATATTGCATCAGGGAAGGCCTTCTTCGCCTGAGGCCCACCGGCACACACTGCTCAGTGTCACGTCGGCTTGTTCATTATGTGCCCACACCCAACCCCCACCCCCGCCGCCCGTCCCCTCCTTTCCCCTCCCTAAATAAATGATGATTCCTTCATCAACCACCCGAAAAAACTACCAACTGCAAATGTGCCCACCAATCTCATGCTCATTTTAATAGTACGCTGCATTCGAGAACAATATCGAGGACGGGGATTAACAAGAGAGATACACGCAACAGGACAAGAGCGATGCAGGCAAGTTGGACACTGAGATCCCTCATATTAATTCGCCTCCCCTCTTAAAACAATCCATGGACATGGACATGGACATGCACAAGTTGCTTAGGAGGATGCCAATCATTGAATGAAGGATTGGAACATGGGGTTGGGCTCCTCTTCTCGATGCGCAGCGGTGTGGTGTGGTGTGGAGTGCAGTGGCTCCCGCCGTATACATTGCCTGGGCGGCCCCGGCCACGGGCGATCCGCGCTAGGAAGTCACATGGAAGGTTGAGGCCGAAACCAGTGAGTGGGAGACACATGGTCGGTCCCTCATCAACACCATCGTACGTTTTTAACTTCCTTTTGGTCTTGATAGGATTCCTCCATCCATTATTAATTGACTTCACATATATCGTAGGGTAACTCCATACCACTGCTCAAAACACTCTCCATCAGTGCGTTGCCCACCACCTTCTCTACATCCCCCGCCTCTTCCTGGTTCATCCATCAATGATCATCTCCTTTTTGACATGACAAGAGGAACTGTTAAGTCAAAGCATCTGACACCAACCTCATGCAATGTTCGCTTGGACCGACGACTCCTCTCTGCTTGAGTTCTAACATTCCAATGCTGGAAATTAACCCAATAAGTTTAGAGGCGAGAAATGTGCAGGCAATGGTGAGAGAGAGAGAGAGAGACGTGAGGGACTCCGCCACTGCCTCGGCGGAAACCTCACCACTTTGACCCCATCATGTCCGATTGCTTTTCCATCGGTGACCGAATGAATACATAAGGGAAAGGTTGTTTGACTCGTAGTAGCACCAGAATTAAAATATGTGGGTTTGGCATCATCGTCATCACCAAGTCAATGAGGAGATATTTCTTCGTGATCATTGACGGATCGCTGTTCCAATACTCACCTAACGAGTCCATCGTTGTGTGCATGCACGCATTAGTGATATCACCCTACAATCGTCGGGCCATTGACTAGACCCAAAAGTCTCTTACTTATGCATCAATGCGCACCAAAGTCCATTCGAAGATGTCTTGGCATGCAAAACCTACAGTTGATTGATGCATGCAACTGAAGTTGATGATTTTAATGCTCGTAGAAGAGGTGGCTACGGCAATTTAATGTGCACGTTGTCGTGTCATATGGCCATGGTCCCACATACTCATGTGCTCAACGTGCATAACGTGACATGTCCATTGCTTGGTCCCTCGCTATTGTTAAGATCCTGACAGACAGACAGACACTGGTTAGTTCTACCAAGTTTGCATGATTGTCCATTCATATTAACTCTATTTAGCCGTCAGACAATGTTGCACTGTAGTTATGGCCACAAGTGAACTGATAGTGAGTGACTCCCAAGTTAGTAATCAACTTGTACATGGAGATATGTTGCATTATTAGTAGTAAATCATTGGAATTGTCGGGTTTAGGTTACATCAGTGGAACTCCACTGAGCTCATGGTTCTTATGAGAAACATGAAGCTTCCTCCATGTGATCGAGTCCCATAAGTTAGGTTATCCTCGGTGGTGTTCTTGCCTTTAGTCATGGTATGCTGATTGGCTGCATATTTTGGTTGGGTAGAGTAAAATGTGCACGTCATGAATTGCTCATGGAATCTATCACTTCCTGCATGTCTTTCTCGCGTTAATCTTTTAAGAATGTAGATCGAGTTTCTTGTGTCGTGGAACTCTGGAGATATGTGCCTTTTCTGTGTCATCCACATGTTAATTATCTGCAAATATCAATCTCAGGTTAGGTTAGGTTAGGTTAGATTTGAATATTAGGCAGAATCGGCTGGCTACAATTTTCATATCGATTCAACATGAAAACAACTTATTATATAAGATTTGATGTGATTTATATTCTTAGTATTTCTCATGGCATTTACTAT